AGGAGTAGGTCAGCACCGGCATGATCACGTTGGTCACCTGTCGTGCATGCAAGGAGGGGCTGAGCACGGGACACATCGCTGGGGGATGCCCCCGGCCTGGAGGGGCTCGGTTGGGGGGGCCCCCAGCCGCTGACCCCCATCACAGCACCTCCTTGGGGAGGAATGTGGCCCGCGGCGCGCTCGGCTGGGGGCTTGGCTGAGCCCTGGCCCCCTCCCGTGCCAGGAATGCGGCGTTCCCACGGATGCAGCAGCCTGCTGGGACTGGGGTCAGTGTCCCTTGGTCAGGGGACGACGACATGTGGCCCTCCCCTCATCTAACCCCATCGTTGCCAGCAGCCCGGCGGTGCCCAGCCCTGTGCACCGTGCCAGCATGGGAGGGTCTCCCCAGTGGGATGGGATGGGGCTTCTCCCAGCCCAGCACCCCCCTGCCATCCCACTGGCTGCCCAGGTGGGCAGGGATCAGGCATCGCCCCCCAAAATCAGTTGCCAGCCTGGTCACAAGGTCTTATGCCGAGGAAAGTTGAGCCTGGCACTTAGGGGACAGGGTGACCTCACAGCCCAGTGAGACAGGGACATGCTGTCAGCTGGACCCATACCACACCACCTTCTCCCCCACAAAAAGCACCACCATGCATTACCACACGCCACCTTGCCCAGGACATGGCACGCCTGCGCCCCTCCATGCCCCAGGACCGCAGGAGGATGCTCTGGCCAGCCCCAGGGTGGTGATTGTGTCCGGAAAGGGGGACACCAGGGGGGACAGGCTGCCCACGGCTCACCTCTGCCTGTGTGAAGTTCTTGTCGGCCCCCAGGAGATACGGGGTGATGAAGCTCTCCCCGGGCCGGATCTGCGTCATGAAGCCATAGAAGCAGAGGTAGAAGACTTGTAGTTTCCAGCGCTGGTCCGGCACCGTCTCTGATGCCGGCTTTTTGGTGCCGTCATCCTTCTTGGGCATGGCTCTGCCGGGTCTGCAGCGGGACGGTGGCGTTATCCCGGGGACCGTCGGCTAGACAGGCTTTGCTGGGCCAGGCAGCCCCTCTCTGGCCACAGGCGCTCTCCAATGCATTGAAAGCCACGTCGCTGCAGTTTCTGGGGAGAAAGCAGCATTTGGCACGGGCTCAAATTCCTCCATAATCACAAGGCAAATAAATATCACTACCTTCTCCCCAGGAGATGTTCTTGCAAAAAGAAAAGCAGCCACGCGTCTCGCTGTGCAAAAGCGGGAGGGCCCATTTCGGGCGGCATTTGTAAATCCCGTATAAAAGAGCCTCGGTGCACGAAGCACCCGGCTCTGTGGTGGGGCAACCTCGGCTCCCATCACCTCCTTTTTCTCCCTTTTAAGAGTCAGTGGTGTTTTACCCTCTCCCTGAAGCAACGCTTCCCTCTGAGCCAAGTCGCTCCGCTGCAGACCCAGAGGTGGAGGAATGCAGACGCCCTGTGCTGGGGCTGCTCCGGAGGGAAACGGCAGCAGCTGTGGGGACTGCGCTGCTTGTGAAAGTGAGTTCATGTGCACGCCGGGCGTGGGGCCGCCCTTGTTACACATTAGCTGGGCAGTCAGCAGGACTTTAGCCAAGCTGCAGGCAAGCAGCTGCCCCTCGGCTCTCCCCCAGCAGGACGCGATGCTTGGGCAGCATCGCCCAGCCTGGGGAGAATGCAAAATGCCACAAGGTTCACGGTCCAGAGGGGCATTAAATGTTCAAATCCTGAGGTTTGGCTGCAGGAAAGCTGGCAGCGCCAGGGAGACCCGATTAGCGATCATGGGATGAAGTCAGGGAAGGGAGTAGGCCTGGCCCAGGTGTCCTCCCAGTGCTCCCCACTCCCACAACAAGTCACCAACAGTGCTTGGGGAGCCATAAAAACCCACGTGTGCCAATCCACGCCATGGGAGCAAGGTCTAGAATCCCTATTACCCTGCTAATTGCAGAACGACTAATGACAGTCATTAAAAATTAAGTTCATGGTCCCAGTCCGTGTCCCCCTGCTGCCAACCTGCGCGGCAAGACTGAGGGGCTCACCTCTGAAGAGCCCCCCCTGGATAATGCACACAGCTAATGGGGAAACAAGCCAGTGCTGTTTCCAGGGGAAAGCCAGTTGTGACCAAAACCAAAAGCAGCAGCAGAAAGCGGGGTGCCCATTTGCTCCAGCGAGGACTCGCTGGCATTCCCATGGGATTTCAGTGCCGGTGCCTGAGCATCACCAAAACACGCATGTCCCGGAGCTCACAGCTGGGCAAACAGCCCCTACCTCTTAAATAGGTCCCTGGGGAGCAGGGCAGGGATTTGGTGCTCACTTACTGCCAGACAAGTTATTGCCCAGAGACGGTGCCGGCTTGGGTCCCGACTGGAACACTGCAGCCCCCCCGCTGTGCTGGGAAGGGCAAGGAGCGGGGCTAAACCCCCTTCAAACGCCTGCCCCAGCACCGTGCTGTGCCGTGCCTGCCCAGGGCCCCTGCCAGCTGTGACTGCCTGCACGCTGCTCCAT